CTAAATTAAATGGTATGTTTTTACGCTGCCTACCTGATCCTCAGATTTAGGTCTAATTTGGACATTAAAGTCTTGCTAGTTTTGTGACTTAGAATATCCCTTCTTTATAAACTATGGGGGTTAACTTAAGTGTGTGTGTGTGTGTGTGTGTGTGCATGCGTGAACACACGCACATGCATGCACACATACATGCAATACTATTAGCTTTAAGCAAATGGTTTGATAATTTGTCGGTCGGTTTTTGGACATATCAAATCTTAAAGATATTTATCAGGTCTTACACATTTAAGTGGTTAAGCTGAGGTAGATATTAGATATTATATGCAAATGTAACGTTTTATAGAGGCCTTAGTAGTAAAGCTCATGGAATCTGAAAATTTAAATTCCTGAAGATAGGAACAAGAATTATGTAGTTAGAATTGGATATGGTTACCTAATCTATCAAAACATAGCATCGTTATTCTTAGAACTAGAAGGGATTTTAAGAAAATGGTCTAACCGTTGTTTTTTGGTAAGCTAGAAATATGGATATTTTTTCTTTTAGGCCCTCCTAAGATCATTATTACTGAATGATGGAAGGGGCAAGTAGAAGCCAGAGTTGCCTTTATTACTCTAGCTATTCTATTCTGATTTGAAAGGAATAAATGTAGAAGATTGTCAGAGAATTTTTTACTACTATAAACTGTGACCCTTATTTTTACATTAAGATGAGTCTCCTGACTCATACCTTCTATGAGGCATAGGTAAATTGTTGGCCACTAGCAATGATAATTATGTACTTGATTTGTCATTTTATCAACAGTCTTATCTCTTTCCCCTTCCTGTCTTAGGTTTATAAGACAAGTATTATTAGAAAGCCCATAGTAAAACGTATAACAATCACTGGGAAAAATCACTTTTTACTTCAGAGATATTCTTTATTTTTTAATGTTTTGCTTGCAAAAACTTAAACTGACATATTTGATTTTTTTTAATAACTAGGAATACTAATTTAAAGTTTTCAGTCTGGTACATTATGTTTTAGATGGAGACCTCTACTGGAAGTATGAAGCAATAGATGGATTTTATTATACATTATTAAATATCTGGACAAGGGGATGGCAAGGAGATTTTTTAAAAAAAAGTCAATGTAAAGTATCTTAGAGTCCTTTTAAAAGAATCTTATGGTACTTTAGATAATAGTGTACTTTTGGTTTTATGATATCATCTTAAGTTTTTTAATAAAGCAGCACATCAAGTTTATATTTTGTTTTTTGCTTTTTAGCTATTTATTGAATTTGTCATGTGCTAAATGATGCTGAATGGTTTACCGTAACTCATTTTTTCTTATACTTCCCTGTAATATAGGTACTGTTGTTATTATACCAATGTTATAGAAGAGAAAATAGGACAAAGCGGTTTAAGAATCTTGCCCAAGGTCACACAGTAAGTTCAGGAGCTAGTCTTTGAACCTAGGCCATCTGGCTCTGGAAAAGGCATGCTATGTTGTTTTCCCCCTAGTGCATAGGATTACAACTTTATAAAAAAAGTATATGAAGACAAGGACTTGAAGGGGATAAGCAAAATATGAAAATAGTTGAAGCAGCTGGCTTTTATTTTTTAAAAAATCCTTTAATGTATCTTTTTTCAACAGAACTCGGGTGCTCCAGTACAATTTATAGTAGAGTTTATATCTGCAAATACTCACCCTACTGAAATTTTACACTTCTATAAGTTAGTATTATCCTATTTTATAGATGAGGAAAAAAGCCTCTACCATTGCTAATATGTAGTGGTGTCAGGATTAGAGTTTTGCTTTGTGAGTTATAATTCACTGCTCTTACTGTACTGTCCAAGTCTTGAAGTCAAGGACTTTTTTTTTTTTTTATGTTTATGTACCTTTCAAAGCCTCTAATTCGATTTTTGATACATTGTAGTTGAACTGAATCAGATCCTCTGCCATTGGGGAGATCCTTAAGAACCCAGGTGGGTATGTATGGCAGACCTCTCAGCAAAGGGGAAATCTAACTTGGGAATTCTGAAAGAAGTGAAAAATTCTAAAATATAGAATTGGTAGTATTATAGCATTTCATTGATCTGGCCCTAAGCTTAACCTTTTCTTGTGTGGTTTTATGAAAAAAGCACCAAGAGTCAGTTCTAGTGGTAGAATATAAATTAACATTGTGATAAATGTGACATTTTGTGCTGTTTTATATAGTCCTTAAAATATGTATTTTTAGGTAAAATAGACACTAACCTTTCTTATCTTTCTTTACAAACTACAACAGAATAGAATCTTATGTAAGGTAAAGAGTTGACCTTACAGTTGTTTCAGACTATCAGGTGAAATTCCAAAGATTTTGCAAAGTAACTACTATTTCTGAAAAAAAAAAAAAAAAATGGATATTGGAAATGATGTGATGGTGCAGTGGAAGGATTTTGAGAGTCAACAGTGTTCATTATCAGGGGTGTCTGGGTGGCTCAGTTGGTTAAGCATCTGAGTCTTGATTTTGATTCAGGTCATGATCTCAATGGTTCACGAGATTGAGCCCCACATCGGGCTCTGCACTGACAGCACGGGGTGCTTAGGATTCTCTCTCTCTGCCCCTCCCTTGCTTACACACACTTTCTCTCTCTCTTTCAAAATAAATAAACATTTTTAAAAAACGAATGTTAATTATCATCATAGTGATAGCTAACATTTATTGAACATTTACTATTTGCAAGGCACTGTGCTCATCTTGTATTATTACAATCTTCAAAGCCATCCTGTAAGATTGATACCATCATCATCATTTTATAGATGAGGAGACTAAGATTTAAAGAGATTAAGTAACTTTCACAAAGTCACACAACTGCAAAGTGGTGGAGCTACCTCTAGAGACCAAACTTGTAACCACTAGGCAGAATACTGCCCTTTATTCAATTCACTGAATAACAATTGATCATCTGTCATTTACTGGACACTGTTCTATGCACTAGATATAAATCAGTGATAAAAACAGGAAAATCTTTCCCCTTTGGAGCTCATGAAAGGAGACTGCACAAATAAGCAAAAACAGTTTGTTAGATAAGTGCAAGGAGACGAATCAAGCAAATAAAGTAGGTAGTTTTTGATGGAGAGTGCGTAACATCTTTAGATAGAGTGGGCAGGAAAAAGTCTTTATAATAGAGCATGACATTTGAATAAAGACTCAAAGGAGATGAAGGAGCAAACCAGGTGGATATCTGGGATAAGAGTAAACAAACAGCAATGGAGCATGCCTGGTGTGTTCTAGAAACAGTAAAGAGGCCATTGTGGCCAAAGTTAGTAAAGAGAGAAAAGTTGGAGATTATTAGATCAGAGAGATAGAGAGCTGGTAGCTGATCTTGTGGGCCTTTGAAAGGTCTTTGCCTTATACTGAAGCCATTGGAGGATTTCGAGCATGATGTGTGCCATTGTCTGGATCTCTCTGAGTGCTTTTGGTAAATATAGATGAAGTGTGATCAAGGGCAGAAGCAAGGGGACCTGTTAGGGAGTTAATAAAATAATCCGGGTGAGAAATGATGGTACTTTGTACCAAGAAGGTTCATAGTTGTTGAGGTGGTGATACATAGCCATATTTTAGATATCTAAAGTTTTAAATCTAAAACTTTTGAGACTTACATTAGCAGATGCCTACTCAGAGACTTACTGAGAACCCACTGTGTGTCAAGTTTTGTACTACTTCAGTTATAAGCTATTTTCCGTAATTATCAAAGTATAGTAACACTTGCTCTTTGTACACAACCTAGAAAATACAAAGGGGAAAAAACTGAGCACAGTTAATATCTTAGCATGTTTTCTTCTAGTCTTTTGTCATAAGGATTGAACCTTAAAATCTGTCTACCAAAAGCTGACTGTCTCTCCTGCTAAATGTTAGCATCTTCAGAGCAAGACCTGTGCTTTTTAGTTCTCTACCATAGGTACGTAGTTCATAATAAGTGCTCAGTATTGCTTGTTTTGTTTGAATTAATTGTGCCAACCAATTAGGTGCCATATCCTTGCATATTCTTTTAAGGGATACTGCATTTTTTCATTTGTTTTAAGGCTTGGTGAATGGGAAGCCAGTAAGTGTTGGTAGACTTAGTTAATGTACTCTGAACTCCAGCCATGCTCATCTATTTATAGTGGTCTAAACATGCCAAGTTTTTCTCGCCTCTCTGCCTTTGCATGTGCTGTTTTCTCTGCCTGGAATTCCTTTCCCTTCTTTTTTGCCTGACATAACTCCTACCCGTCTTTGAAACTTAATATAAATGTCACCTTCTCTGAAAAGCCTTTTCTTATCTTCTGTAACAGCTTGAAATGATCCTTATTATCCTACTTTTCCTCCCATCTATACCTCTAGGATAGACACTACTGTTATATATTTCTTTCAAGTCAGTCTCCCATATTACACTTCGAGCACAAGGAAGTAAGGACTTGCTTTTGTATATCTTTGTATCATCATAACACAATGATTATTAGAATATAGGAGTTAATGTGTGGCCACTGGAATGAATGAATGAATACTGGAAAGGGTCATTGGAAATAAGGAAAGGAGATCACTTTGGTTTGAGTGTAGGGAGGAGCTTATGGAAGAGGTCTCAAGCTCGGCATTGAAAGACCAGTTGGATTCAGATGGAAAAGAAAAAAGGAAGATTGAGGACATTTTAGGTATGAGGAAAAGAGTAAATGAGGGTATGGATAATGTATTTTAATTGTATTAATGAACCCTGCTCCCTTGGAGGGTTTGTATATGTGATTGGGGGAAGGTAAGATGGAGACCAAGGTTTGGTAGCATATGATGGAGGATTTTGAAAATCAGATCAGGATGTTTGACTTTTATTATTCTGTATATAGTGAGGGTGTGAGATTTATATTATTTACTTGTTTTGCAGCAGAACAGTTTCTTGATGAAAATGATATTTGGGGAACATTAGTCTTAATGCTGGTGTGTGGGATAGATTTGAGATAGGAGAAAATAGTGACAGGAATAGCAAACACACCTGTCTGGTTTGATCAGAAAAAGGGGTATTATTATTTTTTTAAAGTTTATTTTTGTTTTGAGAGAGCAAGAGAAAGAAAGTGGGAGAGGGGCCAAGAGGGAGGAAGAGACAGAATCCCAAGCAGGCTCCACATTGTCAATGCAGAGCTTGATGCACTGCTCGAACCCATGAACCATGAGATCATTGACCTGAGCTGAAATCAAGAGTCAGACGCTTAACCTCTGAGCCACCCAGGTGCCCCAGTGGGATATTATTTTTATCAAGTATTGAGATAAATGTGGATTCTTTTTTTTTTTTTAATTTTTTAAATTGGAGTATAATTAACACATTATATTAGTTTGAGGTATACAATGTAATGATTCAATATTTGTATGTATTGTAAAATGATCACCACAATTAAGTCCAGCTAACATCTGTTACCATACATAGTTATTTTTTTCTTCTGATTAGAACTTTCAAGATCCAATCTCCTAGTTACTCTCCCATATGTAATATAGTATTATTAACTATAGTTACTGTGCTGTACATCACATTCCCATGACTTACTCATTTTATAACTGGAAATTTGTACCTTTTGACCCCCTTCACTCATTTTGCCCATCCTCCACCCTGTCGGCTCAGGCAAGCACCAATGAGTTCGCTATATCCATGAGCTCAGGGCTTTTTTTGTTTTTTTATTTTTTTAGATTACACATACAAGTGAGATCATATGGTATTTATCTTTTTCTGTCTGACGTTTCATTTAGCATAGTGCCCTCAAGGTCTATCCATGCTGTTGCAAATGGCAAGATTTCATATTTTTTTATGGCTGGATAATATTCTGTTGTGTACACATACCACATTTGCTTTCTTGTTTTGTCCATTGATGGACATTTAAGTGGTTTCCATGTCTTGGCTATTGTAAATAATGGTGCAGTGAACATGGGGGTTCATTTATCTTTAAAAAAAAATTTTTTTTTCAATATTTATGAGAGACAGAATATGAGCAGGGGAGGGGCAGAGAGAGAGGGAGACATGAATCTGAAGCAAGCACCAGGCTCCGAGCCGTCAGCACAGAGCCTGATGCAGGGCTCAAACGCATGAATGGTGAGATCATGACCTGAGCCAAAGGTCACCCAGCCGACTCAGTCACCCAACCGACTGAGCCACCCCGGTGCCCTATTTATCTTAAAAAAAATTTTTTTTAGTGTTTGTTTATTATTGAGAGACAGAGAGAGACAGAGCATGAGCATGGGAGGGGCAGAGAGAGGAGGAAACACAGAATACGAAGCAGGCTCTAGGCTCTGAGCTGTCAGCACAGAGCCCGATGTGAGGCTCGAACTCAAAAACCGCGAGATCATGACCTGAGTCGAAGTCGGGTGCCTAACCAACTGAGCCGCCCAGGCACCCCTACGTTTATCTTGTAAATTAGTGTTTTTGTTTTCTTTGGAAAACTTTTTACTTCTTAAAAAATACTAGACAATGAAGTCATATTCAGAAAGTACTTCAGAATCTTGTAGTAGTATCTTTAGGGTTGTTGTTCTAAATACCAGTTTTCATTGGACTGTCAATTTACAGAAGAGCAGGTTAGTAGAGAATTCCAGTTGCTTGTAAATTTGATAAAGTGACTATTGCTGCACTTCATTTTATTTACTGGAGTGTAGTTCCATCATTATTAGTTTGCAGTCATATAAGATTTTAGATTGTATTTAGATTCAGTTTATATGTAAATTCACTTTACCTTCTATCTCTGTGCTGGAAGGAACTTTTTTTAATTTTTTCTCTAATTTCCCCCCCCCCCCCCCCCCCAAGCTCTGGAACTTAGCACTTCTGTTTATTTGCTTAAATAATTTAACAACATTCTCCTTTCTATTTTTCTAAAACCATGTGAGACAGGGTCTAGTGGGGATAAGTAGACAGAGTCATGACAAAAACAGACTGAACTGAAGACAGATGAACATATTTGACATGTTTAGAGTTCCTTAGAATGTTTTCCAATGTAGGGTATTCTTGGACACACATTTGTATGACTAGTACGTATGGTTAAGAAAAAGGGATTCTTTTGGAAAGGGTGCTTAGGACTGAGGAGAATGGTCTGGGATGTGCATAGGATCATATCTTCTCAAAATTCTCCTGAAAGTGCTTTGCGATTATTTTGAATCTTATTTTGATAATAAACTGATTTGCTTTGGTTTGGACATTTCTATATTCATTTGTAAGTTGTTTTTAAAAAGTGATCATAGGGCTCGTAAAAATTGCCTCCACTCTAACTCATCTTAGTATGTGAAGAAATATGTAACTGAGCAACATTCTGACTACAAATAAAAGAGAAGACTGGTATTCCCAAATGATGATAATCCAGCATTTAGAACAAAGGTAATTTTTTCTGTGCTTTTTTACTTGTAACATCCCAGGAATGGTTTTACTTTTGTCTATAAAAGCAGAGGAAGTTGTAACATGGACAAAATATGGAGTCTCCTGATGGGATTCAGAGAAAATTCAGGAATATCCTCCTTGCTACCCAGCAGGGAGGAGTAAGCCTTCCATACTGCAGCCTGAGTTACAGAGAATAGCTCAGTCCAGTCCTTTCTCTGTGTCATTTTTATGAGTAAAAGGAGTTTACACTCTTGAAGAAATACCAAGTCCTCTTCATTGCACAATTTGAGATGATTGGCTGAGGACTGGTTGTCTCCACAAGGGTTCTTAGGCCAGTATTCTCAAACTGTTCATTAGTGAGTTATGGGAAAAAGTGTTCTGAGTTAAATACAGTTTGGCAACTTTGTTAGAAGAGTTAAACATGGTTCTTTTCTGCAACACTTTTCAAAACTAATGTGCTTATAAATTGTCTTGTGACTGTCTATGGAATTTTCCAAACACATTGAGCACATATTGTCCCATCCCTTCTACTCTTGGCCTCACCAGCCCCCAGCATGCATATCTACTTACAGGGTTACTGTGAAGTTTAGAAAATGCTGCTGTTAGCAGAAAACTTGCTAGATAAAATAGACCCAGCTGGAATAGTCTTGAAAAATGCTTAACTAGTTTACTAAGATAGATGTGAAAGCCCATTGCTTCCCCAGTTCTGGGTTGCATGGGAAACATGATTAATCATAGAGAGCTTGGTTGAAAAAGAGAAGCCAAGTTTTAATGGCTTTGATTTAAGATGCAGTATACTCAGGCAGAGTAGGGTGCCTTGAGAGGAGTCTTTTAAACTCTGGAGGTTATGAACCTTGATAAGTGAATTAGCACATATTTAGTATGGAGAGTTGTTAGAATTAGGCTTTGATACTTCATTGCAGATTTTTCCTATTGTCCTCTGAAATGCAATGTGAGAAAGCATTTCAATTAGACCTCTAGGTTGTTGAATTATCTTATATTTTTGAATTGAAATAGCCAGCGTGGTTCTTTCAGTTAATCATTAGCAAGGACATCCAATGAAAAGTATATTTGCTATGCAGTATTTTTCTAATGTAGTCCTTTAAGTGATTATCTAAGATCACAATAATGAATTTCCATTTATCGGTTCCTTATGAAGAACTATATTTTCATGGACAAAGTGATCCTTCAGGACAACCCAACTTTGGGTTTTCTGGAATCTATGTAAGTAGAAAGCTTACACTATCTCTTGACATAGCACATACTCCTTTATCGAGAAAAAAGTAAGAGCTAAATAATTGGATATATATTAGGAAGTTATTAATAGGGAAAACAAACTTTGAGGACATTTCATTAAGTCAGGGTAGATGCATCCAACTTCTTAGATTTTCTAATACTCTACAAGGTAAACAGTTGATGTTCCAAATGGTATCTGGATACTGGTTTAATTTCTTTTATACCCATTAAAATAACAGGGGCTTACACATGGCATAAGTTTCTCTAGAGTGTCATAGTGCAAACGTAAATAGTCCAGGACTGATAAGGTAGCTCTAAAGGAAGCCTTCAGGGGTGCCTGGGTGCCTTAGTCAGTTGAGCACCTCACCCCGACTCTTGATTTCGGCTCAGGTCAGGATCCCAAGGTTGTGGGATCAAGCCCCACGCATCAGGTGCCATGCTGAGCTTGGAGCCTGCTTAAGATTCTCTCTCTGTGTGTCTCTGTCTCTCTCTAGCCCCCCACCTCTTCCCTCCCTTTTCCCTGCACATGCTCTCTCTATCTCTAAAATAAAATTAAATTTAGGGCACCTGGATGACTCAGTTGGTTAAGCATCTGACTCTTGATTTCGGCTCAGGTCATGATTTCATGGTTTGTGGGTTTGAGCCCTGCATTGGGCTCTGTGCTGACAGTTCAGAGCCTGCTTCTGATTCTCTCTCCCTTTCTCTCTGCCCCTACCCCACTTGCATTCTGTCTCTCAAAATAAATAAATAAACTTAAAAAAATTAAAAATAAATAAAGGAAGCCTCAGCCCATTCTTTCCTGTCCTTTACATATGGCTTCCATCTTACGCTACCATATATAGATGGCTGCTCCATATATAGGTGGTACCATATATAGAAGGATAGATTCTCCTCATTCTAGCCAGTGGCACAGAGTAAAAAGAGAGAAGAGGAACTCTTTCTCTTATGAGCACATGCCTTTTCCATTTACATCCCATTAGTCAGATTCATGCCACACAAGGAAAGCTAGGATATGTATTTTTTGAGCTTTCACAGACATTCATAAAATTGATCATGTAACAAGCCACAAAGGACACTTTCATACATTCCCCAAAAAGTCACAGATAATGTCTTGAGGAAACTTTTATTGCTTAAAGAATAGGTAAAAGAACAGAATACACACACACACACACACACACACACACGGATTATATATACTTATATACATGGCATGTGGTATATAGGTGTGTGAGTGTATGTGTAGACAGCTGGTAGTCTGTGTTATTCATTATCCTGAGATAGGTTTCCAGATGCTGAAGTGCCTTCTGAGTTATCACAGAAAGAAGAGATTGTACTTAACAACTTGAAGTTGTTAATTCTCTGTAAATCAGTAACCTATGGGCTTAAGAATTTGTGGTGTATTAAGTTAAAGGAAGCATTCAGCCCCAAAGATGTCTGAGTGTGTATTGAATTTCTTGAGTAGTGATTTATGTACACGTGTATGGGAATATAATATAATTTGATATACAGATACTTGATTTATAGACTGTTTATCAAAAAAGTAGAATGAAGTAGCAGTTTATTAAAATGAGTACTTTTGAGTGTAGTTTTTTCCATCAAAGGAAAAAATTATGATTCGATGTAATAGTTCACTTAAATTGCAGTATGATATAAGAAATTTTAGGTCTTGTTTCAAAATCAAATTAGTGTAATTTTTTAAATTGTGAAGATAATTGGTACATCTTATTTAAGTGAAGGAAAATGTATTCAGATATATACATTAATTTTTATAGACCTCATAAAGTAAAACAAATAGGAAACAATTTTTTCACAATTCTTTAGGGGGGTTTATAGCCAAACAAGCATTTTTTCATGTATTTTATATTACTTGATAGTATTCTGGAGCTTGTTTAATGATTCTTATTTTCTTTTATATTTTATGATTCTTATTTTCCGATAAATGTTTTCAAATCTTTACATTTTTTTTACGACTTAGCCAAATTTCACATCTTTGACCTGTGTTTCCTTTGTCATCCTCTACTAAGTATTATACTTGGAATTTCCTGCTCTTTAATCCACAGATTAAATCCAGGTAAAAGATTTTTAAAGTTCTCTTTTGGTTATCTTCTTTATTTTGGTTTTAATTTTATTGCTTTAAAATTTGTGAACATAGCCTATATTTTGATGGCCAGGTGCATGTAACAAGGTATCTTTTGTGGCCTATTATGTGATTGATTTTTATGAACGTTCTATGTAAGCTCAAGAAGAATGCATTCTATGTTGTAATGTCATTTATGTCATGTCGTCAGGCTTTCAAGGTGGTATATTTCAAATCTTTCAAGTCTTTGCATTTGTTTTTTTGCTTCATACTTTTCCAAAGGCATGTAAAAACCTCCAGTTAGAATTGTCTGTCTATTGCTGGTGCACCAAAATTTTCAGTTGTTGCTTCATGTACATTGAGGCTGCATATTCACTTTCATTTTATCTTGCTGTTATATATCTGCTTGTGTCTTATGGCTCCCCACCTTGAAGTTTAATTCTTTTGATATTAACAGTGACTTTCTTTTGGTTCATATTTTTCTCATATTTTTCAGATACTTTTCGTTATCCTTTATGTTTTATTTTTGTTGAATCTTGGTTTTACATTTAATCTAAGAACATGTCTTTTGAGTTTAATCCATTTATATTTAATATGATTATTGTTACATTAAAGTTTATCTCTGCCATTTTATATTTTATCCCTTCAGTGTCTGAATTTAATGTCTATGTCCTCTCCTCTTCCTACCCAGTAAATACCAAGATCCTTAGCATACTCCCCTTGGTACCCCTATTTTGTTGGAATAGGTTGATGTGATATTTTAATTACTTATTTTTATGAATATACTTTTATAAAAAGATGAATCTTCTAAAACTTTTCCTGACTTCTGTATTTTGTTGCTTTTATCTGAGTTCATTTCTCATCCTGCCAGATTGCATTCTTCAGAAGCTTTGAAAGAGGGTCTTTTTGTGGCAAACTTTGAGAGGTTATATACCTAGAATATCTTTATTTATCACTCATGCTTAAGTGATAATTTACTTTGTTATGAAATTCTAAGTATGAGGTTTTTTTCCCCCTTAGTATTTTGAGGGTAAGCTTTCATTGTCCTCTTGTTGGCCTGGTGTTTGTTGCTTGTGAAAAGTCTGATACTTGATCTTGTTCTTTTGTTATGTGATCTCTCCTCTTCCCCTTGTTGGAAGCTTTTGAGTAATTTTTTTGTTTTGTTTTGGAAAGGCCTAACTTTCACTCTAGTATGCTTAGGTATAGGCTTTTATATTCTTAGCACTCTAAGCCATTTCAATCTAAGATCTCATATATTGAATTCTGTGAAATTCTTGGCCATTATTTTTTAAATTTCTTCCCCTTCATTTATTCTTTTCTTTGGTTATAGAATTGTTGTTAGGTAGATATTGATACTTATACTACTTATACTAGATCATTTTTTAAAAATATTTATTTATTTATTTATTTATTTATTTATTTATTTATTTAATTTCTTGAGAGAAAGAGACCAAGCCAGGGAGGGGCAGAGGAAGAAGGAGAGAGAGAGAGATCCCAAGCAGACTCTACGCTGTCAGCACAGAGCCTGACGTGGGGCTCAAACCCATGAACTGTAAGATCATGACCTGAGCTAAAACCAAGAGTCAGAACACTTAACCATCTGAACCACCCAGTCAGTCACCCCTCTCTAGATCACTTTAACTTTTAAAGTTCTTTGTATCTCGTTCTGCTGCTCTATGGGACATTTCCTGGACTTAGTCTTAAATTTTTTTTTTTTAATGTTTATTTATTTTTGACAGAGAGAGAGAGAGGGAGACAGAGCATGAGTGGGGGAGGGTCAGAGAGAGGGAGACAGAATCTGAAGCAGACACCAGGCTCTGAGCTGTCGGCACAGAGCCAGATGCGGGGCTCAAGCTCACGAACTATGAGATCATGACCCAAGCCGAAGTCGGTTGCTCAACTGACTGAGCCACCCAGGCGCCCCTTCCTGGACTTAGTCTTAAAGATTACTACATTGTACTTTGGTTCTATCCGTTCTGTTATCCAAACCATTTTAAAATTTAAATTTTTTTTTCAACGTTTTTATTTATTTTTGGGACAGAGAGAGACAGAGCATGAACGGGGGAGGGGCAGAGAGAGAGGGAGACACAGAATCGGAAACAGGCTCCAGGCTCCGAGCCATCAGCCCAGAGCCTGACGCGGGGCTCGAACTCACGGACCGCGAGATCGTGACCTGGCTGAAGTCGGACGCTTAACCGACTGCGCCACCCAGGCGCCCCAAAATTTAAAAATCACAAACAGTATCCTCTTTGTTCTTAACTGCTTATTCCTGCTTTATATTTCTACTACATGTTTCTCTTAAGTCTATACACTATGAATGTTTAAAATTCTTCTTTCAATTAGTTCTGCTTCAGAGGTTATTTCCTGTTCTTTTCAGTGTGGATGTGGGTTTGGGTGTTTGTCTCCTCTTCCTTTATTAGTAATTATTAAATATTTCCTCATTTTTTTTCTTCCTGTTTGTTACTCTTTTATCATCCTGAGATGCTGGTGAATTAAAAAAAATATTTTTTAATGTTTATTTATTTTTGAGAGAGAGAGTGTGAACGGGGAAGGGGTAGAGAGAGAGAGAGGGAGACACAGAATCTGAGGCAGGCTCCAGGTTCCAAGCTGTCAGCACAGAGCCTGACGCAGGGCTCGAACCCATGGAGTGGACTGTGAGATCATGACCTGAGGTGAAGTTGGACATTTAACTGACTGAGCCACCCAGGCACCCCGAGATGCTGGTGCATTTAGAGTGAGAGGTGGACATACGCTGAGTTCTACCATTCTTGGCATTTTACATACACGTGGCTCTTGTTTCTTAGGGATACTTCTCTGCAGGCACTGCTTATCTCAGTAGGGTGCCTCCCTCTTTTCTGTTTTAGTCCTGCTGTCTGGCTGTTTCTGCTGCTTTCCTATACTAAGGTAATGGTAGCATGGCTGATAATCTACCTAAGAAAATCCAGCCTAGTAAAAAGGCACACAGCTAGAATTCCTAACCTCAGTTTATTCTCCCCATCAGTGGATGCTGGCTTTTATATGCTCTGTGACTCCCTAACCATGCCCTAGCATTATCTGTGTGCTCCACTGTTTTTGAACTAGATTCTGAGATTCAGCAATCTAGCGTCTACTGTCCTCTCCAGAGTAGAGTGGAGTTCCTGGTGTCTGGGAAGGCAACAACAACCAGCAGATGGTGCTGGTCTTTTACCTTTTCAGGAATCAAAAGCCATATCTTACTTTTACAGGTAATGGCTACTATAAGTGATTATTAATTTTTTTTCAAGTTGTCAGAACATCTTAAGAGTATTCAAGTATTTTTATGAAGAGATAAGAAGGAAATAAATGTATCTAACAATTTCTGTCTCCTTCCTCATATATAAAATTGTGCTGTTCTGGTTACAGTGCATTTTGAATACCTTTTATGATAGGATAATTGACTTTTAACATATTGTGATCTGTAGTAGCTACTATTTACTGAGTGCTTACTGTGTCCTGGGTACTACACTAAATGTTTTATGTATGTACTGTTGGTGAAAGACCAGGATGATTTCTCCAGTGAAAAGTTTTAACTTAATAGGTTTATAAGAATTGTGGATTACTATTGACTCTATAAGACAGAAATTATACTCACATAGTGTAACAGCAATAAATTCCATTAAAGTGATAAAATGTTTTACCTGTAGAAGAGGGAAATAATTGAAGGAGGAAACTTAGAGACTGTTTTTAATGAGAGAACTAAAACTTACAGAATTTGTCACTTTTATATAGTTCATGAGCTTTCTCTGTTTTTTGTTTGAGGGGTATATATGGATGACAGAACCATTTTGTTTTCAGAGTATTTAACATTTGTAGAATATTACAAATAAAAATGTTACAAATAAATATGCTTGTGTGTTTTACACATAGATGTGAAAATAGAAAATAAATCATTCCATCTTCCTAAAGCAGTTTAAGTGGTCATTATTTCTCATCTAGTTTCATCTATAAAACTAATGTGCTTAACTGCTTAAATTTATTTTTAGTAATAAACTAACCTTTACCACAGAGCCTAATTTTCTTCCCTTATCCTGTGCTTTCTGATTGTACTTGCTGGTGGAACCCAGAACAATGATTGTATGAAGTGAAGAAGAGAAGACATGCAGATTAGAAAATTGCTGGGTTGGGGGTGCCTGGGTGGCTCAGTCAGTTGAGTGTCCGACTTCAGCTCAGGTCATGATCTCACAGTTCATGAGTTCAAGCTCCACATTGGGCTTGCTGCTGTCAGTGAAGAGCCCATTTCTGATCCTCTGTCCCCCTTTCTCTGCCCCTCCCCTGCTTGTGCTCTCTCAAAAATAAATAAACATTTGAAAAAAGGAAGAAAATTGCTGGAATTATGTAGAGTGTTTTTTTGCTTGACATTATTTAGGCAATGAAACCTTTTTTTTTTTTTTAATTAAGTGCAATCTACACACAGTAAAAGTCACTCTTTAGTATATTGCTCTGTGAGTTTTGACACATGTGAACAGTTGTATAAGCATCACCAGAATGAAGATCTAGAGAGCATTTCCATCACCCCCCAAATTGCTCTGTGTCCTTTTTAGGTAGCCTAGCATTCCATCTTCTATCCCTTGTAACAACTTATCTGTTTTATACCCCTTTAATTTTGCCTTTTTAAGAATGTCAGATTAATGAAATTATACCATATGTAGACTTTTCAGTCCAGCTTCCTTTACTTAACATAGTGCTTCTGAAAATCATACGTATTGCCTGTGTCCATAGTTCGCTCCTTTTTATTGCTAAGTAGTATTCCATTGTATGAATATGCTGCAGATTCTTTATCATTTCTTAGTTTAGGGAGGTTGGGGTTTTCCCAGGTTTTGGTGATTATAAATACTGTAAACATTCTCATATAAGTTTATGTGTGAATAGAAGTTTTCACATCATTTGGGTAAATACTAAAGAATGAAATTACTGGGTCAAACTGTTAATACATATTGTATTTGAAGCTGCTAAACCATTTTTGGGAATGGCTGAACCATTTTACATTCTCATCAGCAATGTATGAAAATTCCAGTTGCTTCCCATGCTTGTTAAGGGCTTGGTAGTATTCATTTCTTATTTTTAGCCATCCTAAAAGAAGTGTCATAGGCTGTCATTGTTCTTAGAACTTGCATTTCCCTAAATGAGTAGTGATGTTGAGCATTTTTGATGTTTATTTGCTATCTGCATATCTTCTTTGGTGAAGTATCTGTTCAAGTGTTTTCCTTTTTATTTATTTTTTTTTCTTTTCTTTGAGAGAGAGTGCGTGCATATATGCATGGGGAGGACAGAAGGAGAGGGAGAGAGAGAATCTTAAGCAGGCTTCACGCTCAGTGAGGAGCCCGACATGGGGCTCAGTCTTACAACTGTGAGATCATGACCTGAGCCAAAATCAACACTTGGATACTCAACTGACTGAGCCACCCAGGCGCTCCAGGGTATAAAGTATTTATCAGATACATGATTTGCACTTAACTTTCTCATAAACTGTTGCTTGTCTTTTTATTCTCTTTTCAGTATGTTTTTTAAAACAGTTATTGAGAAATAATTAATACAATAAACTAAACATGTACAGAGTATCCATTTTGGTAAGACTTGACATAGGTATACACCCGGGAAATCATCACCACAATTGAGATAAGAAACGTATCCATCACTCTCGAAAGTCTCTGTGTGTCCCTTGGTAATTCTTCCATCCCACTTGTCCCAGGCAGCCACTAATTTTTTGTAATTACAAATTAGTTTGCATTTTCTAGAATTTATTTAAGTGAAATCATATACTGTGTACTCTTTTTTCATTTAACAAAATTATTTTGCGATCCTTCTCTGTTGTATCAAAGTTCAGTCTTGTTTTGTTGCCAAGTAGCATTCTGTTATATGGGTATGCCACAATTGGGTTATATCTGGTTTGGGGCTATTATAAATATATATTAATTTTTTTTGCACAAATCTTTTAAATGGATTTATACTTTCGTTTCTCTAGGAGTGAAATGGTTTGGTAATATGGTAAATGTGTTTAACTTTTTAAGAAGCTGGCAAACTGTTTTATAACATTTTACATTCTTATCAGCAATGTCTAAGAGGAGTTCTAGTTGATCCACATTATCAACAACATCTGATGGTCAGCCTTTAATTTTAGCTATCCGAGTAGGTTTGTAGTGATATATTTTTTAAGTGGTTTTTTTTTTGTTTTTTTTTTTTGCATTTATTTATTTTTGAGAGACAGAGTGAGACAATGCACAAATGGAGGAGGGGCAGGGGGAGAGGGAAACACAGACTCCGAAGCAGGCTCCAGGCTCTGAGCTGTCAGCACAGAGCCTGACGTGGGGCTTGAACCCACAAACTGTGAGATCATGACCTGAGCTGAAGTCAGAAGCTCAACCGACTGAGCCACCCAGGCACCCCATGTAGTGAAATTATGGTTGGAATTTGGTTTTCCCTAATGACTAATGATGTATGTTTCATGTATTTATTTGCTGTTCATATATCTTTTTTGGTGAAGTGTCCAGTTTGTTGGTACACCTTTTCATTGGTTTGCTTTCCTTATATTCAGAGGGTTTTTTTATATAATCTGAATCTTATCAAATATGTGATTTGCAAATTTTTTCTCCCACTCTGCAGCTTGTCCTTTCATTTTTTTATGAGGAGGAGGAATTTTTAATTTTGATAAACATAAATTTGTCAAGTTTTTTTCTTTCAAGTATCATGCTTTTGACATATCTAAGGAATCTTTGGCTAATTCAAGGTCACAAATATTTTCTCCTGTTTTCTAGGTGTTTTATAGTTGTAGGTGTTTTCTTTTAACTTTATTGAGAAATAATTGACAACTATATATATTTAAAGTGCACAGTGTAATGATTTGATATATATATACATTGTAGAATAATATGTAGTTTTCAATTTTATATTTAAATGTATGATTACTCTTGACTAAAATTTTGCATATGCTGTCACATATGGATTGTTTAGTACTGCTAGTTTCCTTAAGTAATGCCTTAGTGACATTTCACAAATATTGATATGTTGTATTTTAATTTTCATTTCATTCAACATCTTTGTTATTTCCCCTTTGAGTTTTTCTTTGACCCATAGGTTTGGAAGTATTTGATATCCAAGTGTTGGGCTTTTCCAGATATCCTTCAGTTACCATTTTCTAATATCATTCCATTGTGGTCAGAAAGCATACTTTTAATGCCTTGAATCTCTTTAAATTTATTGAGAGTTGATTTGTGGTCTAGAGTGTGGTCCTTCTTGGTAAACGTTCTGTGTGCACATGAGAAGAAAGTGTATTCTGCTGTTGTTCATTGAAGTTTTTTATAAACGTCAGATTACATATGTTGATAGTGTTACCCAACTCTAATGTATCCTTGATTTTCTATTTATTCTCTTAGTTATTAATAAAGAAGTATAGCTTATCTCTGACAATAATTATGGATTTGCTTATTTCACCTTGGTATTTATCAGTTTTGATGTATTTTTGAAGCTCTCTCAATAGGTACATAAATGTTTCTAGTGTATGTCCTCATGGTAAAATGACTCTTTTATGACCAAGAAATTATCTTTATCCTTGGTAATATTTTTGACTTGAAATCTACTTTGTCAGATATTCATATAGTCACTCTAGCATTCTTTTGACTAATGTCAGTATGGTATGTGGTGTTTTTTTTTTTTTTTTTTCTTTTTCCATTCTTTTCCTTTAAAACTATTTGTTTCTTGGGGCACCTGGGTGGGTCAGTCGGTTAAGTATCTGACTTCAGCTCAGGTCATGATCTTGCAGTTTGTGAGTTTGAGCCCCAAGTTGGGCTCTGTGCTGACAGCTCAGAGCCTGGGACCTGCGTCAGATTCGTTGTCTCCCTCTCTCTCTCTCTCTGCCCCTCCTCTGCTTGTGCTCTGTCTCTCCCAAAAATAAATAAACAAAAAAAAATTTTTTTTTTTAAATATTTGTTTCTTTATATTTAAAGTGCACTTTTGGACATACAGTATAGTTGGGCTGGCCTTTTTTTCTATTCTGATAATCTTTGCCTTTTAGTTGAGGGTGTTTAGACCATTTACATTTAATGTGACTAATGATCTGGTTAGGTTTAAATTCACCATCTTTCTGTTTTCTGTTTGTCTTGTCTGCTTTTTGTTTCCTTCCTCCTGTGCCATCTTTTGAATTGAGTATTTTTATGGTTCAGTTTTATCTCTTGGATTTGTATATCAGCTGTAACTCTTTGCTTTAGAGATTGCTTTAACTTTCTGTAGTCTACCATGTACTAATGTTATACATGTAGTATAATTACCTTAGAATATTGTACTTCCATTTCTCCCCTTTTGGCCTTTGTGCTTTTATTTTCTTATATAAAATAAGAATAAGAATGATTTTTTCTTCTATGAATGTTGTAAACTAAACACTGCATAGTAATTAATTGTTTTAAAAGTTACCTTTTAAAGAGATTTAAACATTTTTTTTAAATGTCATGTGTTTTTTCACATTGTTACCATTCTCCCTTCTCTTATTCTTTTGTTGTACATCCAGATTTCCATAAAATCTGACCACTATATCTGTCTTGGCTGAAATTAGAAGTCCCAGTGTTTCCACTCTTTGCTTTAAGGATTTATGATTTACAATTTAATGGCTGGGCTTCAGTCAGTACTTTTAGATGCCCTAACTACATGATTTTTAGGGTGTTTTTTTTTTCAATAATATTTACATCACACATTTAAAGATAGTTTTCATTCTTTAAAGATAGTATAAATGAGTTAGACTTATTCCTAGATATACATACTCATCTGCTGCTTTCAGTATTTCAATATTGAAGTTTTTTAGTATCTTGTAGTTAACTCTAAGTTCAGCTAGCTGTTAATATTCTAACATAAGACCAATGTGTCACTTCACCTTCAAAATAACATGCTTGTAATTTTCCTTCTCCTCTCCCCTTGCCATATGCAGAAAAATAATCCTATTTGAATAATCCTAATGAATGTACTCTTAGTGATCATTTAAGTCCTTTTGATAAGTTGGCATTTCTAGTAGAAATTAATAATAGTTTATTATACAAAGTGCAGTTTTATATATTTAGGATTCCCTTTAGTAATTAAATTCAGATGATTGTATCTTAAATGACTTAAAGGCACTTTAGGGCAATTAGGTGGGTGAAAATTTCTGTTTACAAAAGAGATCTATTTAGGGAAATAGAACTTAAAATTTTTGTTTAAATGGTTTCTTTTATAGAGTTATTTTAAAATAAAATTTTTTTAGGGGGCCTGGGTGGCTCAGTTGGTTAAGGTCAAGATCTCATGGTGTACACAGGATTGAGCCCCTCACTGAGCTGTATGCTGAGAGGACAGAGCCTGCTTGGGATTCTCTCTCTCCTGCTCTGCCCTTCCCCGACTTGCACACGTTCTCTCTCTTTCAAAATAAATAAGTGAAGTTAAAAAAAATTTTTTTTAAATAAGTTTTTTCTAAGCTTTGAATAATCCAGGTAATGAGGAAATCTCTAATGACTGAGCAAGTATGTCAAGTCACTAAAAACACCAACAATCTGTGGGTTCTGGGGAGAGTGGTGGTGTGTGCTATAGAATGTTTCTGTAAAACTATAGTTCGTATATCTTTCTCTTTGGTAGTGTGTGAAAAAATCTTCTTTACCCCTGTTGCTGGTAGTCATTTCCTGTTTTGGGGGAAGGGGATGGTGAGGGAGATGCATTAAATCATTAAGAGACAGTTGAGGAGTAAGTTTTGTTGGGACAGCCCGCTTCTGGCAGGACATCATAAGGATCTTTGCAGACCCACTTCCCAGTGAAACTGGCAAAAATTACTTGTTTTGATAGCAGTCATTTAAAGTCTGAAAATGGTCCTAAGGGTCTACAACAAATGAAGAAAGAAAATCTGCTAAAACTTGGGAAGAACAGCCCAAGTCTGTGGTATTTGAACCAAGACTTGCTTCCTCTCTCCCCTTTTCTAATTCAACAAGATGGAACCTGCACTCCACACTGGTGCAGCCAAGAACACAGGATTCCCTCTCTCCTCACCACCTAGTTGGAGGGCACCTTCCTGAGAGGAGCAGATGTCAGGATTTCTCATTCTGCCCAGCTACATGTTGCTGAGGCTACATGTTCTGGGCATGTGGGCCTGAGAGGCAGGGGCTTACTTCTGCTAATCCCCCTCATGGCACAGAAATGCTGCTTGTACACAGTGCCACTGAGAATTACTCATGTCTCAGCTCTTCAGGTAGCAGTTCCACACTGGGAGAAAGATGCAAGTTCCCTCCACGCTACCAAGCATTTTGGTCTCAAAGTTGGGTTGTCATTCTATATAGTGAGCCGCTATCCCTGCTCTCAGACCCATGGCTCAGAGAGTTATACAATAGAGAGTTCTACATCTCTTTCCAAAGTAACTAACTTTATTTGTAACAATGTGTGGAAAATATCAAGCCTACGGATATTCTCAAAAACAGTGGAGGTTGTGAAGGCAATGAGGAAGAGTTTGGTAGATGCATTGGAGGTAAATAAAGGATATTTTGGCTAGCTTGCTGGAGGGAACCAGGGAAATACTGAGCTTGAAGGAAACCTCCTAGGGTCAGAATAAATCGCAAATATTGAGCTCCCTCCAAAGGAACTGAGATTTGTGTGGAGCAGTTTATGCTTCAGTATCGTTGAAAACAATAGAGCAATGAGCTGACAAGTAGTGCTGCTTAAAAGCTGGGTTTTGTAAGGGAAAGAGACAGGGAGCCCTGCCAAAACTGCTGTCATTTCATGGTAACTTTGGGAATACCCAAGACTGTGCCTCCTGATGAAGAACACCAGGGGCTTCACACTGAGGAAAGATGAGGGAATAGACTTCACTGAAATGATCTAAGCAATGAGTTAATACAATAAACAAATAAATAACAATAACAAACCCCAGAGGGAGGCAACCAATATCCAGAGTCGGTACAGTACAGAATCTAAAATGTCCAGTTTCCAACAGTATTAGAAGACATGGAAAGAAACAGGAAAGTATGACCTCAGAGAGCCAATTGAGTTGGTCAGATGTGAGATTTAACAAAGATTTCAGATTAGCTATTATAAATATATTTGGAGAACTAAAGAAACCAGGGTTAAAGAAGTAAGGGAAAGTATGATGACAGTTTCTATCAAATAGAGAATGTCAATTAAGAGAAATTATAAAAAACTAGTTGGAAATTCTGAGTTTGAAAAGTATGAAATGAAAAATTCACTAGAGGGGCTCAATGATAGACTTGAATTGGCAGAAGAAACAATTAGCAAATTTGTAGTTAGATTGATAGAGATTATGCATTCTGAAGAACAAAAAAGAGTGAAGAATAATGAACAGAATCTCAGAGAAATGTAGGATACCATTAACTGTATTAGCATATATGTAATGAAAATACCAAGGGAAGGAAAGAGCATACTTTAAGAAACAATGGGTGAAACTTCCCAAATTAACTGAAAAACATTCATCTGCATATTTTGGAACCTTAGTGAACTCCAAGTAGGATAAATTGCAAGAGATTCACAGACGCCTCAAAATAAAGATGCTGAAAGTCAAAGAAAAGGAGAAAATCTTGAAAGCAGGAAGAGAAAAGCAACTCATCACTTACAAGGGAACCCCCAGTAAAATTAATAGTTAGTTTCTTATCAGACAGAGGGCATAATACAGTGGGATAACACAATCAGAAGTGCTGAAAGAGAAAAAATTGCCAACCTGGGTGCCTGGGTGGCTGTCTGACTTCGGTTCAGGTCATGATCTCACAGTTCGTGAGTTTGGGCCCTGCATCGGGCTCTGTGCTGACAGCTCAGAGCCTGGAGCCTGCTTTGGATTCTGTGTCTCCCTCTCTCTCTGCCCTTCCCCACCTTGTGCTCTGTCTCTCTCTGCCTCTCAAAAATAAAGAAAAAAAAGAAAGAGAAAAAGAAAAAAATTGCCAACCAAGAATTTTATCTTTCAAAAAGGAAGGCTAAATAAAAACATTCTCAGACACACAAAACTGAGAGGATTTGTTGCTAGCAGACCCACTTTATAAGAAACACTAAAGAAAGTTCTTTAGGCTAAAAGCAATGGCCCCACACAGTAATTCTAACACCCCCCCCAATCCCCCCACACAAGAGCATCAGTATAGATAATTGCATGATAATAAAAGATAATATAAATGCATATTTCTCCTCCCTTTTACTGATTTTAAAAGCAGTTGTGTAAACAATAAGTATATAATGTATTTTGAGCCTATAACACATAGAAATGTAGTATATATGCTCATAACAGCATAAAGGAAGTTTATGGGAGCAAAGCTGTATTAAACTAAAAAAAATGACTCCACATGGTAACTTGAATTCACAGGAATAAATCAAGAGAACCAGAAATGATAAATGTGAGGTTAATAAAAGCTATAAGTATATACTTGCTCTCTTCTCTCAGCTTCTTTAAAGGTCCTAATAATATAAGGTAATAGTTATAACATTTATACTTTGAGTAATATTTTATTATTGAGTTTATAACATTTATAGATGTAGTGTGTATATAACAATAATAGCTCAAAAAGGGGGGAAAAGAAATAGAGCTGTATAGGAATAATGTTTTTATATCTCATTGGAGTTAGTATAAATCTGAAGCCTAATCTGATAAAATATGTGTGGAAAGCCCTAGAACAAGCATGAAGGGAGTAACTTTAAAAAAAATCACTAAAAAGATTAAAATACTACATTAGAAAATATGCACTTAATGCAAAACAGAGCAGTAAAGGAGGAAAAGAGCAACAAAAATATAAGACACGTGGCAAACAAAAAGTAAGGTAGTAGACATAAATCCAGCTGTATTGATGATATTAAATGAAAATGTATTAAATAATCAAAAGGCATTGTTATCAGGCTGGATTAAAAAAAATAGGTACAGGATCTAACCATATGCTCTCTTTAGGAGACATACTTTAGATGCAAGATACAAATATATCAGAACTAAAAGTATGGCAAAAGGTATATCATGCAAACAGCAACCATAAGAAAGCCAGAGTGGTTAATGCTAATATCAGATAAAATACACTTTAAAATGATAAAAAATAAAGTCATTGGAGATAATGATACAAGTGTCACTTCATTAGGAAAGATAAAATTATACATACATGCATCTAACAACAAAGCCCTGAGAAATGAAGCAAAACCTAACAGAAATGAAGAAATAGACAATAGTTATGGCTCCCCCATTTTTAGTATTGGATAGAACAATGAGGCAGAAGATTAAGAAGAAATATGAAGTCTTAGGGGTGTCTGGTAGGCTCAGTTGGTTAAGCGTCCGACTTTGGCTCAGGTCATGATCTTGCAGTCTGAATTCAAGCCCCGTGTTGGGCTCTGTGCTGACAGCTTGGAACTTCGAGCCTGCTTTGGATTCTGTGTCTCCCTCCCTCTTTGCCCCTCCCCTGCCCTCACTCTGTCTCTCTCTCAAAAAATAAACATTAAAAAAATTTTTTTTAAAAAGCAACATAGAGTCTTGAACAGACAACTATATGTAATAGACATCTATAGAACACTCTACCCAACAATAGCAGAATATGTATTCTTCTAAAGAGCACATGGAACATTTTCCAGGAAATACCATATGCTAGGCTATAGAACCTACCTCAATATATTTAAAAAGATAGAATTAATACAAGGCATAGTTTCAAACCACAATGAATGATACTAGAAATAAACAATCCTGGGAAACTCACAAATGTGTAGAACTTAAACAGGATACTCTTTTTTGTTTTAAGTTTATTTATTTTGAGAGAGAAAGGAGGGGAAGGAGGGAGAAGGGGAGGGGCAGAAACAGAGGGGGAGAGAGAGAATCCCATGCAGGCTCCATGCTGTCAGTGCGGAGCCTGACGTGGGTCTCAAACTCACGAACCGTGAGGTCATGACTTGACCTGAAATCATGGGTCAGATGCTTAACCGAGCTGCCCAAGCACCCCTTAAGCAAGATACACTTCAATAACCAATGGGACAAAAAGAAAATCAAAAGTGAAGGTAGGAAATACCATGAGATGAATGAAAATGAAGACACAACATACGAAACATGACTATAGCTAATGCAGTGCTTAGAAAGATGTTTATAATTTTAAATGTATGCCTAAAAAGAAGAAAGGTGTCCACAACCCAAGCTACTTTAAGACACTGGAAAGGAGTAAATTAAAACTAAACCAAGAAAAGGAAGGAAATTATAAAAATTATAGCAGAAATCAAAGGAAATAAAGCCATAGAAAGGTAATAAAACCAAAAGCTGGTTCTTTGAAAATATCAACAAAATTGACAAACACTTTTGCTAGGAGGGTCTTTTTTTCATTGACCAAGAAGAAAAAAAAGACTCAAATTACCAGAATGAGAGTTAAAAGATGGAACATAATTATTGTTCTTACAGAAATAAGGATTGTTAAAGGAATAACAAGTCCATGCCAATAAATTAGATAATTTATATGACATGGACAAATTCCTAAGACACAACTCCCAAAACTGACTCAAGAAAAATAGAGAATCTGAATAGTCTATGAGAAGTAAAAAGATTGAATTAGTAATCAAAAAACTACCCACAAAGAAAAACCCAGGCCCAGATGCTTTCACTAGTGAGCTCTACCAAACATGAAAAAAAAAGAATCAAATCCAATTATTTTACAAATTCTTGCAAAAAATAGACTTAATTGGGGATATGTGTACCCTGTACACTTGGTGAAGTGGAAAGGGTGACAGCATAAAAGAAAAAGCAGTAGTAAGATACTTAGTTTCTCCTGTGACTGGAGCATTAAGCATCCTTGCTTTGAGTAGAACTTCTTTTTATGTAGTGGCCTACTGGATTCATTATCTTGTATCTGGTTTATAAGACTTCAATTTATACATGTCCTTAAAGAATATTGTATTGGCTGAATGAGGGAAACCCTTTGAAGGCAGATCCATTGATGATTGAATCTGAAATTATTTCCAAATAGCAAGGCTTTTTAAAAACATTTTTTAAATGTTTATTTTTGAAAAAAGCATTTTTTACATTATTTTTGAGAGAGAGAGAGAGAGACAGAGCACAAGTGGGAGAGGGGCAGAGAGAGAGGGAGACAGAATTCAAAGCAGGCTCCAGGCTCTGATCTGTCAGCACAGAGCCTGACGTGGGGCTCGAACCTATGAACCATGAGATCATGACCTGAGCCAAAGTCGGTAGCTCGACTGACTCAGCCACCCAGGTGCCCCTAAATGTTTATTTTTGAGAGAGAAAGAGACAGAGTGTGAGTGGGGAGAGGAAGAGAGAAAGACACAGAATCTGAAGCAGGTTCCAGGCTATGAGCTGTCCGCACAGAGCCCGACGTGGGGCCCAAACTTGTGAATTGCAAGATCATGATCTGAGCCAAAGTCGGACACTTAGCCCACTGAGCCACCCAGGCATCCCCCAAATAGTGAGATTTTGAGTTTACAAGAAAATAACAAATACTAGCTGTACTTACTGGTTCTAATTTTATAATACCAGTCTGATGGCATTAGTAAATTTTCTGATTTCAGGTTTTTAATAATCTAGATTTTAGTGTTATTATAAGAATAAAGTACCTTAATGTGTTCCTTCCATCATTTTGGAAAAGGTTACATAGTATAAGCTAGGGCTGACTTTGCTAATTTTTTTTCATTTCCATTTATGTTTTCTTCTTTACATCTTAGTTTAACACTTTTCCAAGGGACCTTACTTACATTTATATAGCATATTTGCCAAAGATCATTTGTATATATTTCATTTGAGTCACACAAAATTTTGAGGTTAGTAGGTCAGCTATTCTTTTTTCTTTGTGTGTATGTATGCATAATGTGTGCATATGTTTGGGGTGTGTGCTTAAACATAGCAATTGTGGCATGCTTCTTTACAATTTGGAATGGCTTTCCATTAGTGTTTCAATACATGGCAGTGCTGGAACTCTTGATTACAATTTCCCTTACAAGTAAGTACCAATAAACCTTTTGTTAACTGTTAGAGGAAGCTGGTTTTTCAGATTGCAGTTGTTGCCAAT